ATCAAGTTCTACAACTGTCCAAATTAATTTAGATTTCTTCTTACATTCACCTACCAATTATTAAAATTGGGGATAAAGGATGTAGAAATTTTTTATTATGATTGCAGTAGAAAATTGTCCCTCATCAAGTTCTACAGCTGTTTAAATCAATTTCGATTCGCCTTTTAGATTTCCCCTTTCACTTGCCAATTATTAAATTTTTTTGTTTTCATATGAGAGTGAGATGAGGGCTACAACCGAAATTGGAGATAAAGGGATATAAAAATTTTTTATTATGATTGCACTAGAAAATTGTCCTTGTATACATGTTCAAATCAATTTAGATTCCCTTTTCATATCCCTTACTTTCACTTTCTATTTACTTTAATAATTATAAGGTATAACATATCCTTGAGAGAGGGAAATATTTTTTTAAGCGGGATAGAGGAGGGAGATGCATAATAAATATTTACAAAAGATTACCCGTAAACCTCGTAATAGATTTTTCGCCTCTCATGAGCGTAATGGATTTCGTAATTTTTTGAAAATCTCATATAATCTCAGATAATGTTTTTTCATTTTCTTACTATTAAATGTAACCAAACAATATAAATGACATATTTCCTTGTAAATCAAGTAATATATTTTCACGTATCCAAACGGCTCCCAAAGATAGAAATTTTACCCAATCCATACTTACTTAGGCAATTTTTATACATAGAACATTCTTTTTTAAGTTTTGTTTTAAGTTAATCCTTTTGAAAGAAGCGCACATTTTAAAATTAAAAGACCTGCATAATATGATTGAAATATGGATTGTGCAGTAATATCACATCTTTTTTTCTGGTCCATATGTAAAATTTTCAAAATTCTATAAAGCGAATGTCACATGTCAGTGTTCGATTACATGAACCACCCTCGGAACCCAGACATGGGCTGAGTCGGGGTAACCCGAAATTGGTCCAGGTTGCTCGCCCTAGTCAAGTAGGTACCGGCTAGGCAAAAGAAGTGTTAAATTTTTTTAAAAAAAAAAACTCCAAAAATTGTAGGAAATATAGGTTTAGATTTTGAAAAATCAATTTGTGACTAAGGATATTTTTTGAAATAATCCAATATATATATGTAAAACAAGTATTCATAGCCAAAATACTTTTCAATATTTTGCCAAAATGACAGAATGCATAAAAAAAATATGTTACAAATAAATATTTTATTTTACAATTTTTTGAATTTTTTTTTTTAAGATCCCTAAGTTGAACACCCATCTCGGGGTACTCGGGCTTGCCCGAATTTCTCAGGTGAGTCCGGGAGGGCTCACTTGATTAGTCGAACTCACTCACATATTAACTATATTGTAAGTATACAATGGCACCATTATCTTTGGCAGTATGTTAAAACTTTGAGTAGGGTGTTAATTGTCAAATCAGTAAAAATGATAATGGAAAAATGTAAATTGGTGGAAACTAAGCCATCCTAGAGCACATAACCTAGATCACCCATCACCTTATTCTTAAGTACATAGATCTGCATGGGGTGATTTTGACCTGGATCGTCATTTTCTAAAACCCTAATTTTTGTTATAAATAGGTCACAATCTTCTAATCACGAGAAATAAAATCAATAAAACTTTGTTAGACTTTGTGCAATAAGTGACCCACCTTGTCTAAGTGATTTTACATAGACAGCTTTGTGTACAGTGTGGTTAACAAATATATTGTGTTTAGTCTTGTATTGTACCCTTGAATTTTACTTTTGGGCACCCTAGCTATTCCTGAAATGACTAAAACTCCCTTCCACCTTTATCTCGGGTAGGGGTGGGAATTGGGTGGGGTTGACATATCAACCCGATGGGTCAACTCGACCGGATCTAGGTATGAACTAGAGTTTGGACCTTAGACTCGGGTTTGGCTCCATTTGCCCTTAACCCAACCTGCTTTGAATACCATGGGCAGTGGGATAAAGGTTGGGGTGGTGGTGGGAGCGCCCCCACATTCTAGTTACCACATTGGGGTTTTCATTCTCACTAGCATATTAAAAAAACTAACTACCCGACTATATGAAAAAATGGATAAAAAATATATATATGGGCAGTATCCTCCTACTATCTTATTGCTTGAATATTGCGTTTAGCATCCACCCACAGTTCTGGGTGATGAATGGTGGAGATAAATTGTTCCTTGTTTCGAATGGAAAATGAGATAAAAAATGTGTGGTCATGAGATGGAACTGTTACAAATGGGTAGAATGTTAAATAATTCATCTCTTACGTTAGTAAATTTCTCTTAATAGTAATTAACTTACTCTTGATGAATACTTTTGAAATGTGTTTGCTCCGCTCCATTCCTCAACCACATTTAGTCAGAACAAATAAAAATCTTATTTCCCCTTGGTTGATTAGTTCTTTAATTAAAGTAAACAGGAGTTACTGAAGGTCAAAACTAATGGTTCCTTTGGATGGACTGTTTATTAATGAACAATTGTGTTATGTACTCGTCCCATTCATGAGTAAACATAAGTAATGTTTGGTAACCTTTGCTATCCATGTGTAAGGGTCATATTTGTTTATTGTAAAAACGCCACAAAACAATAACCAACCCCCAACCTTTAAAAAACAACCCTAGAAAAGCACGTGTTTGTGAATTCATGAATAAACTACAAGACCATCTTAGTTGTTGGTCAATTTTAGACTTTTTAGTCCCATACCCTTTTTTATAATACCTAAAATTTAAAACGCCGATAATTTACCACCGCGATCATGAATTTTAAAAAAAAGAAGAGGATTTTAAGCTTCGTCTTCAGATCATGTTGGTATAATTATTTTAATTCAATTTAAATAAATCATTTGAATGTTTATTTTAGTTCAATTTAAATGAATTATTTTCATGTTTATTTTAGTTCAATTTAAATAAATTATTTGCATACTTAAATTTTAGATTCATAATCATGAAGGTTCAAATTATTGTCCTGTGAAATTTTGGACCTAAAATCTAATTTTTGAAAATGGAGGTATAGTGTAGGGTTGGGTGCATCAGTTGGCAAATCAGTTTATATGTGTCCCCTCTCAAATCCGTCGCAGAGATAAATTTAGGATAAAAAAATTTCGAATGTCGATAATATTGACCGTCATGATCATAAATCATTATCATCATCATAGCCCTTTCCCAATTAATTGAGGTTGGTTGTACGAATCTTGGCTCGCCTTTCTGCTCTATCAAAAGCTAGACCCTTAGTGAGACCATAAGTCACCATATCTTTTCGGACTACTTTTAAACATGTGTTTTTTTACCCTACTCTTGCCTTTTTTAGTCATTATACTTGAACTAACTCGCACCTCGTAACAAGTGTTGTATTTGATCGGCGCCACACATGGCTAAGCTACCTAAGTCTAATTTATTTCATTTTATCGCCTATTGGTGCCGCACCTAAATTATCCCGAATGAATTCATTTTGAATTCTATTCTTTCTTGTTTGCTAATCATCCATCTTAACATCATCATCTCCGCTACACTCATTCTATAGGTATATTATTTTTTGTCCACCCAATATTCTGTCCTATAGAGCAAAACTAGTCTCACAAATGCCTTGTCTTTCAGCTTCATTGGTATGTAACAATCACATAAAAATCTAGGGTAAATATCTACTTTGCCCACCTAACTCTAATTCTGTATGTGACATCTTCTTCAATCTCTCAATTTTCTAGATTATCGAATCAAGATATTGAAATATAAAGAATAAATAAATTTATATATATAAGCATGATATGTTTTGTGCCTTTCTTCGGTGATGTTGATTTACTTCTCATAACTAAATCAACACCATCTTTTGAGTTAAAAAGCAAAAATGCACTCATGCGTCTAAGGTCTCGTAGGCTGGCTTATATGGGACATTGGGTTGGTCAGTTTTTATATATTTATATAATTTAAGCGAAATTTCTGGTTGGTGCTCTTCTTCCTTGGAGCTAACGGTCAGATGCACACGTGGGGCCGCCACTTCGGCACTCAAAATTTTGAATCTCAAGAAAATTAAAAACGTAAATTATTTTTTTTATCGTTTGTAAAACCCGCCCTTCCCGCGGTTTTCTCCGTAACTATTTTGGCGCCCGTTGATTTTAAAATTCCCCAAAATTCCCAAAATACCCCTGACCCTTCAAAAGTGTTCGCAGCTCAACGTCCAATGGTCAACACTCGCGAAATCGCCCCTGATATTTTCGTAATTACGAATATAACCTGACCCCCATCAAGTCACTAGTTGAAATTTGGTACAATTTACAAACTACTGAGAAAATTTAAATGAAAAGCAAAAGTGGCGATTTATTTGATCTAAGTTAGGCTCAAAACCATCACTAATATGCTAAAAACACATTTGAAAACAAAGTTTTCAAATCTTATTCATGTCAAAATTGAGAAAATTAAAGCAAATTCCTTTTTTCAACTTTAAATAATTCATTATAGTTTATAGAATAAAAACCACTAAAGAAACAAAATATAATTTACAAAAAAATCATACGGGACATTATTCATTACATTTTATATCCATCAAAATTTTCAACCTCAAATAATTCGTTATAGCTTATAGAATAAAAACCACTGAAGAAAAAAAATATAATTTTAAAAAAATTCTAGAGGACATTAATCACTAAATTTTTCAACAAATAAATTAAGTTTATTTGTTCATCATTTGTATCATGGAAAATTTTTCTAAGTTAAAATCGTTTCCTGTGAAAAAAAAAGTATTTTCTTAACTTAACTTTTCCTTGTTCTCCAACCACAAATCCCACAACAAAAAGCAAGAAAAGAAAAAGCTTTTTTTGTCTTCATCTTTTCACCCAAAATTCTTTAAAAAAATTCATCCACATAACTCACCGCAAAGATAAAAGAAAAAAATGAAAGTATGCAAAAGGCAGGTGAGGAACAATTTCGAAATATACCTAAGAAACAAAGTCATATTCAAAACAGGCCGCTACCACCCATATAAAGCCGCAAACAAAAAGAAAAAACAATTGGCCAAAAGAGAGAGAGAGAGAGAAAAAAGAAGTAATTTTCATCATCAGATGCCATGCCTTCTTCTTCTTCCTCTGATCAGGTGAAGCCTCCTCTACCACTGAAACCCCCAAACCCTAGCCCTAATTCTTCCACCTCCATTCCAAACCCTAACCCCTCCCCCATTTCAAACCCCAACCCTAGTCCCACTACCATCTCAAGCCCTAACCGTCATCCTAGATCTACGGCTCCTCAATCTCCAAACCCCATTCGTCCTCCTCCTCATTCTCTGCAGTCTTCATTAACCAGAGCTCTCTCACCAAAAACACTAGAAACCCACCCATCTCATTCTCTTCAATACCAGCCCAAGCCCTATAGGGTTCTTCCAAGGTCACTCAAGGCCGCCTCCGAGCAAGGAGGCGTGGTCTTCAGGCCGTCGGCCATGGCTCTGCAACCGCCTATTAGGGCTTATACTCCTCCCTTTGGGGTTGGAGGAGCTCAGCCTGGCTCAACAGTGCCTCATGCCCTGGGTCCTAGATTGGTTGGTGTGGGTTTGGGGGGTCAGTTGAGGACCTCATCAGTTTCTGGACCAAAGGTTAGTTCTTGAAGGGATTAATGTTTTCTACTGTGGTGGAATTATTTGATTTTGGCATGGTTTTTTGGAGTGAAATTTCTTTCTCTAATGTATATGAGATTCTCAATCTTGATCTTGGTATGGTTTTTGAGTTGCTCTTACATTTTGTGATACGCTTCGTTTTTTTATTTTGGTGGAGTTTTGGGGGGGTTGGCTTATTTTCTTTTTATTTTTTGTATGAAATTCTTATTTACTTTTTGTTATGGAATTGGAGTTGTTATTTGGTTTTCTTATACAGTTAGTCTTTAATTTTGTGTGAATTGTGAAGTTTGTATCTATCTTTGCATGAAATTGATATTTGATTTTTGTAATAAATAACCCTAGAAACCCACCTATATCAGTCTCTCCAATACCAGGTCAAGTCCTTTATATGGTTCTTCCAAGATTGGATAGGGGTTCATCTGAGAAAGGAAACGTGGTTTTCAGAGCATTGGCCATGTTCTCTGCAGCCACATTTCAGGGCTCATATTTCTGCCTTTGGTGTTGGAGGAGCACAGCCTGGTTCAGTTATGGCTAATTGATGCAGGGAGTAAATAATAACCAAATAAAATAAAAGAAGGTCAAACTCTTTACTCAATTACCAAGAGTCTCTCTTTACAAAGAGGGCGTATTTTCCTTTAAATACAACTAATGAAATAATAAATAAAATAAAACAAACCCACAAATCGCTCTTTCTTTTCTACCTACTTTTTCTATTTTTTTCTCACCTCAATCCCAACCACGTTTTTTCCTATCTCTATCCCTCTTTCCTTCTCCAGTAAACCTCCCTAAAATCTCTATGAAATAATATCTCCTTAGATTTAGGAAATATCAACATGGCTCCCTCCTTATCTTCACTCACTGCCTCCTCCCATATCTTCCTATTTCTCTTTCTATCTAAAAGATAACTCCTACTATGAATCCCATGTTCCTAACTACATGATAAGCTTCCATAAAACAAAACAAGTAACCTAAATTTCAAATTAAATATCCTTTATACCACTTCAAAGCTCTAACAAAAAAATATACAAAAATAACCCTAAAAATCAACTAAAACCTAAATTTTACCAAATCTAAAATCAATAAAACATTGTATCACCATTGTACAAAAAAACAGACTGCCCAGCTCCTAGGCGGCCGCCTAAGCAGTCCAGACGGCTTGGGCTTATCGCCCAAGCCTAGGCAGCCAAACTAGGCGGTGGTCCCTCGGTGGCCGTTTAGGCAGATATGGAACTCGCTTAGGCAGCTGGCTGCCCAGGGCCTGCACCCTGCCTAGAGGCGGAAAGTTACTTTTTTTTTTTTTTCGTTTTTTAAAGATATAAAAGTTTAGAATTATGGGTTAAGTTCATTTGAAACCTAAACCCACAATAACCCCTTTTAGAAACAAAGAAACCTCCAAAAAACTACATTTCTTTGGATTAAATCATCGAAGTGTTTCTCAAAGTTTGGAGTTCTAGCAACCAAAGTAAGTGCATTTTTTAGATTGCTTTTTTTATTTTGAGATGTTTTCTTCAGGAGTTAGTCGGATTGGAGATTCTGGTTGGAAATATAGATACAACCCGAATCCAAATGATAAAAATTGAGTTAGATGCAATTTTTGTAAAAAAATTACAAAAGGAGGCATAAACCGGTTTAAGAAACATCTTACTGGTATAAAAGGGGATGTTGCCCCTTGTAAAAATGTTCTTGAAGCTATCAGAGAGGAGATTAAGCAATTTATAAGTTATGTAAACAAAAACAAGAACAAAATCCTTGTCATAGATCAATTTCTATTTCTGCTTCTTCTAGAAGAAGTGATTCGGGTTGGAAGTATGGTACAACCCAAAACCAAATGATAAAAATTGTATAAGACGTAGTTTTTGTGAAAAAGATACCAATGGGGGTATTAGCCGATTCAAAAAACACCTTGCTAGTGTTAGAGGTAATGTTTCTTCTTTTACCAAGGTTCTTGAAGCAGTTCGGGATGAGATTAGACATTTTCTGAATTTTGAAGAACAAAAAAAAGATGAAAATAAGCCTTGTTCTATGGAAGTATATTATCCAGGTTCTAATCGGAGTGGTGATCCGGGTTGGACGTAGGTTATAACTCGAATCCAAGTGATAAAAATCGTATTAAATATAATTATTGTATAAAAGATACTAATGGGGGCATTTACTGATTTAAAAAACACCTTACTGGTATTAAGGGTGATGTTGGCCCATGTAAAAATATTTTTGAGGCTATTAAGGAGGAAATTATACAATATTTGAGTTCAGAGAAGCACAAAGAAAAGGGTAGAGCAGCCAAGACTCTTAGGACCTCATCTGCACAGACTGCACATACTAGTAATAGGAAGGCAGAAGAAGAGGAGGAGGAAGATGTAGATTCAGAAGAAACAGAGGAGGATGAGCGTTATATTGAAGAGGAAGATGACTCTGATGATGATGGCCTCGACTCTGATGCATATGATGAAGCTTGCCCTAATGATATTCCCTCTGATGATGATGATGATGACGACGACTGAAGATGTTTGCCTCTTGGTGTTGAGTGTTGAGTCTGTTGACTGTTGAGTCATGAGCGTTGACTTTTGTTAGACTATATATTTTCTAAATTTCTGTATATTTCTGTTGTGTTGAGTGTTGACTTTTATACCCTACATTTGTATGGTCTTACAATTTACTTTTTTAACAATATGGATTATCAAAATTCTCTTCTTGACATCTTTTTTTTTTTTCTTTTCAACTTAGAATATGATATATTGGTAACTTGGTATGTTTTTTACTTTTTTTCAACTGGGTAGCTGCCCAGGTTTTGGGCGCCCACCTAGGTGTTGGGCGGCCTAGATCCCCCAGGTTGCCTAGGACCTGCCTAACGCTATTTGATACACTAGATAAGAGCCACCGTTTTGTTCTTCAAATTCTTCTAGAGAAGTACATTACCATTTATCTCTGGTACAAAGAGGCTATAGTTGGTCGTTGGATGACCATTTATCTCTAGTGCAAGGAGGCTATAGTTGGTCATTGGATATAAAGTCATGCAGCAATGTCTCGTTGAAGTCCAAAACAAAAATTTTGAACTTTGTGACACACCCAAGCTGTCCAATCATACATCCTACGGTTGTGGGTGATTGTAACCTCTTTATGCTAAAACAGCTGTTATTACAGGGTACAATTCTAGTTCTTTTACTTCTTTTTTGCTTTTCTTGATGTTTATTTGCTGCTAGAGTTAGAGATGGGTAAAAAAGGTTTGACTACATGCCCTTTGATTTTTTATGTTATAACATGTGAGGTTTGACAATATAAACTAATTTTTTTATCTTTATTTTTATTTTTTAAACTTGTGCTTGACTCAGGCGAGTTACTTGGACTTGCTCGAGTAACTCGCCTTGGCAAAGGTCCGAGTACCTTGGCCATGTCGATTTTCGGTACATTTATTACAATTGTTATTTGGTTTTGTGTGGATTGTCAAGTTTGCATCTATTTTTATGATGAAATTTTTGTTTGATTTTGTGATGAATATGAATAGTCTTCTTTTGATGTATATTCGTATTTTTTATGCATTGGTAGCTCTAGCTGCATTTTCTTAGTGAGAAAAAAAGAAAGCCTGGTATTTTTTGGTTAATCTTTTTTTTTTCCCCTGTGCTTTGGGTTTGACTTACTTGAGCTATCCTATGCAGTGTGACATTTGGATTGAAACCTTACCACATTTCTTGTTATGATTCACTCTGGTTCTGTTTCTTTCACTGAGGAAAGAAAGGGCCGTCGTTTTGTTAATTTTAGTATTTTAGTGCGTATTGTGTTTTAGATTACTGGTGTTTGGATGACCTAGGCGTTCTTATTATTTGAGATACTAGTCCTCAGCCCATGCCATTGTTTTGTGGAGATAGTGACACGAGATAGTGACACGACATACACTGAAACACTCTCTCTGTCTATTAGGACAAAATATAAAAATAAAAAATAAAAAATAAAATTGATGAGAAATTCAATTATTGCTACAAAAAAGTAAAATTGATTTTGTCATGAAATTTAATAAAATTCAGTAGTAGCTAAAATAATCCAATTCTGATGGTGGTTAATATGCTGATACTTGAGAACAGTAAATAGATTCCTTCATGGAACAATCAACTCTATGCATCAGTTGCTTTACAAAAATGTAGCAAACTCTCAGAGCAACCAGGACAACTCCTCATGGAATGGTTTTGTTTATTCCACTAATATTATTAGCTTAAAAAATATAAAAAATGCATTAAATATAAAAAATGCATTGGCTTCAATAAAAATACAAAAAGAAAGGAAACACTTGATATAACTTCAATTTTGTAACAAACCTCAGATGGAATCCCAGTCAGCTATGAGCCTGTTGTGCATATATCAGTGAAGAATTTCTATCAGACACCATAAAACAAAGCAAGGACGGATTGGATATAGCAAATTCTAGGTAAATGTCCCATAAATGAAGAGGATGTCTCTTGAAGTTTTATGTCCCACAACCTGGGTATTGACAGTTGTAACCAGTGAGCAATGGGTCATTTTCATTTACTGAAAGCAGGGTCCCTTATTGCGTGGGAAATTAGGTTGAATTTGAAAGTTCTTGGGTTTAATGAAGGTTCACATAAAATCGCTCAAGTATAGTCATTTAATTTTCACCCTCAGTTTATTGTGCAGCAACTGTGATTGTACAAGTTAGGTATTTGTCTGGAGGGATATTGTTGGGGATGTTGTTATTGCATATTTAGTCAATTTGTAAATGAAGAGTGCTTTGGGTGAAATAAGTGGCATCTTCAAATGGATTGGGTTCTGTAGTCTTGGAGCATCGCATACCAATTTTCAACCTCTCGTTGTGGGATTGAGTCTCACATTCAGTAAAATAATAGATGTAAAAGAAGCAACACTTTTAAGCTTCAAGAAATGTTAAAATAAGTCCTGAAGCTTGTTGTCTTTTGTAATTTGTGTTTTACGGGATATCCTTCTTATTTCATAATTACTAATCTCGTAATAAAGAGTGTTTTGGGTGAAACATGTGGTGTTTTTGTCATTATCCTCTGAAACAAATGATGCTTCATGAATAGCAAGAAATCATATTTACTACTATGGTATTTGCAATAATAGGGACATTTTGTATACTATGGTAGTAATTCTCGATAATCAGAAATTACCTACATCGTGGGCCCTTGAACCTATCAAGAAGCTATTGTGACGGCTTAGAATTTTTGATACTGGAGTTGCTAATGTTGAGAGGAGCCTTGAATAGAAGATACGGCCTTCAAGAAGCGCACATTAGTCTTCGTTTTTGTTTTTTGTTTTTTTTAGTTTTGTGCTTTTTTTTTTTGTTGTTTGTGTTTATAATTTTAAAATAACCGTTTGGTTTGCCTAACTTGGTCTCATGTGCAATTTTTATTATTGTCCTATATGTCACTTTCTAAATGGAATAAAATTCTTCCATATATTTCTCTATAATTTCTATATTTGAATTGAATGGGATATTTATGCTGTTTTGGTCTTGATTCTTGTATATGTGTTTGTACGTGCTTACATCTTGTTTTGATACTTGGATGCTCTTATGAATCTTGATCAATGTTGTATTTTTGCATGGAATTATGGATATATGCCCATATCTGATACACATCTTTTAGTGTCATGCATACTCACACATAATGTCTGTGATATACATCAGTGAACAAAAGCTCAAAAACTTGCCCGATTCAACTAGACTTTTCTAGCAGGCGAGCTTTACAAATAAAAACCCAGGGTGTATCAATGTATATTGTTATATACAGTTTTCTATGTTTAGTTGTGATGCTTATAAATAGTCATTTTAGTTTCTTCAAATTCTTCTGAGTTCACCATTTCACTTATCAAGTAGGTCACTGAGTTTGAGGTTTTGAACACTGATATATCCAATATGTAGTAAATTTAATCTGTTATTAAATATCATTCACTCAGTCGCGACTCACCTGAGTGACTTGGACCCAGCTGGTTAGCAGGTCTGGATGAAAAACACCGAAATTCAGGTGAGGGTCACCAATTCCCCAACCATCTGTTTTATTTCATTGAAACTCAGCTTGGGATCCTGGTGAGTCGATGCCCAATTCCGGGCTTGTGGTTACTGGTTTAAATTGACATTATGTTATTTAGTTTATTATTTTTAGTTATGGAAACAATCGAGGGCTTGTCTTTATGAGGGCCTTGAATTTCTAGGCAGCATTGGCCCCTTCGGTTTTGATGAGCCCCCCTTCTTTTGATTACGTAGCTTCAAGTCTCCATTGGGTCCTCCCTGGACTATTTCTGCGTCACTTTTGCTTGTCCCATCCATTGAATATTTTGATGGTTGATTTGCGGTTTATCAAACCACATTTCCTTGGGTCTTGGCTTCTTGTTGGCTCTCTGTTCTGCTTTGTTTTATTGGGTTGTTTACTCCTGGCCACTTTCTGTTGATTTCCTGTGCTTTTTGCTGATGAAATATTTTCATGTCATACATGACACATTTCAAATGACTATTGAAGTCCTCTCTCACAATTGCTTTTTGTTAACATACTCATTTTAATCTCTCACTATGTTTTAATTTGTTGCTGCAGATTCCCTTGTTCTCTTCCTCACCTTCTACTTGTGATTTTAAGAGGTATGATGACTTGAGACATTCTTTGGTTTCTTGTTTTCTTTCCATCATTATGTTTGTTTGCCACTTTGGAAAGAAGATGCTTCTCTTCCTATTGATCTGCGGGTTATGGGCGTGATTCTGATTTTTTAAACTCTTTTTGTAGGGAAAAATATGCTGACAATTCTGTTGCTGCAACAATAAATGATCGAAAAGTAAGTATTCTGGTTTTGCACCGGTGATCTTTAAATCATATTGTTCGTCTCATTCTGTGTGGATTTGTATACGTGGCTCTTACTTTAGATATTCTACTGATGTTTGTTTTATGATGGATATAAAATTTTTGATGTTTGAGCAAGTGGTTCTCATATATATTTACTAGCTTGCAGCTACAGATCTAAAATTCAATCAATTATCACATGCTTATTTGTCAAATGCTACTGTACATAAGATCCTGTGACACTGAAGGGGGATTTTGTCTAATGGTTTGGAAATTTTAAATTCCATAGGCCTGTACAGTGACGTCTTTTGATTAGTTTAACAGTTTTTTATTTTCACATTGGTGAATCTGGTGGGAAAGCTCATTCGATATTGTGTTTCCCTGAAGTAAATTAGTTTCCCTTATCTTCTGTCTGATTTATATTTTGACTTGAAACCTTTCTGATTTGGTTAGATATGTATTAGGTTTTTGTGCATTGGGAAGTCTACACCTTGCTTACTCCAACTCTCTTACCCATCTAGGCATTATCCACATACTAAACTTTTGGACACTGCATTACATGATCTATCATGTCCGGATATTAACCTTTGTAGAAAAATGATTTGGTAAATTATGAAGTTTGAGATTATAGCATTTATCTATACATGAAAGAATCAGAGTTTTAAAAAGCGGACCGCCTAGCGCTTAGGCGGCCGCGCATCTCCCAGGCCTAGGCGGCCAAGGGCGGTTCATCCTTGGACGGCCACCTAGGAGTTACAGAACCAGTCTAGCGATCGCACAGGGCCTGCGTCCTGCCCAAGGGCGGAAATCCATTTCGGAGGGGGCAAGTTTTGTCATTTTTCCTTTTTCTAAAGCCTAAAATTTAGGGTTTTAGGTTCATTTGAAACTTAAACCTTGTTTGAGCCAAATTTAAAGAGAGAAAACCACAAAAAATTAGATTGTGGTGAATTTTTCAAAATCGAAGGGTTACTCAAAGTTAACCAAAATTGATCAAAACATCACCCATTGGTAGTCTATTTACTTGTTGATGTATTGCAAAGTTATTAGGGGGTGTTTTAGAAGATTTTGAGCATTTAGAAACATCTTTGAGGTGAAAGTTTGAAGATTGAGCAATCAAACTCAGTTACTCAAAGTAAGTTATTTTTTTTATTACTTTAGCTTTTAGTAATTTGCATTATTTTTTAGATGTCTTCTTCAGGATCTAATAGGCATGGTGATCCCGGTTGGAAATACGCTTATAACCCAAATTCTAATGATAAAAATTGCACAAGATGCAATTTTTGCGAAAATGATACAAAAGGGGGCATAAACCGGTTTAAGAAACATCTTGCCGGTATTTGCCCCATATAAAAAGACTCCTGATGATGTTAAAGAGGAAATAAAGAATTTTATGAACTTGGTGAAAATGAAAAAAGATGAGAGATTTTCCTCTACAGCAGAGATTAGGTTTGAGGTTCGAGGCAATTTTGGTGATGATGATAGTGATGAGGAAAGGATTGGGGAGGGATGTCAAGAGGTTGAGCAATCCATTATTAGGGGGAAGGGGAAGGGAGTTGTAATTGCTTTTGGTTTTAGGAGTAAGAAGCCTCTGGTTAGAGGCCTTATGGATAGCTTCTTACCTCGGCCTAACCTTGAAGAGAAAACAAAAAAGCAAACCACCATTGAAAAGGCAGTGAATGCCACGAAGGAAGCTGTAGAACTTAAGAAAGATGCATATGCTCAGTATGAGGTTTCTCTTATGACTGATCCTTGGAGTGATAGGAAGAGAAGAAGTCAATTGTGAATTGTTCAGTAGGGACTGTTTTCTTGAGGTCTATTGATGCCTCTAATCATATCCATGATGCCCATTACATATTTGAAGTGATAGAGAAGGGAATCAAGGAGGTTGGGGAGCATCTTGTTGTACAGGTTGTAACAGACAATGCTGCTCCCAATGCTTTTACATCTAATTTGTTGCGCATAGCTTATCCTAGAATCTTTTGGACACCATGTGCAGCACATTGTATAAACCTCATGCTTGAGGCTCTTGACGGTTTAACCAAGATATCAGGTGCAGTGAAGAAGGCCAAGTATGTTACGAATTTCATTTATAGCCACCATATCACCTCAGCATGATGCATACCTTTACAAAGAAGAAAGAGATTGTGAGACTTGGGATCAAGAGATTTGCGACCTGATACTTATGCCTAGATAGCATACATTCGAGGAGAGTGCAGTTGAGGCAAATGTTTACCTCGGATGAGTGGAGAGCATGCAAGTGGTCTAAGGCTCAAGTTGGGAAGAAAGTGAGAGCTATTATACTTTCTAAGGTTTTTTAGCGAGGGGTGAAGGACACTCTTAAGGTATTTTTTCCTCTTATCAAAGTCCTTCGTATGGTTGATAGTGACAAGCTGTCTATGGGCTATATACATGATGCTATGGAGAATGTAAAAGAGAGATAGCCCAAAATTTCAATGATGAAAAAACCAGCTACAAGCCTGTTTGGGAGATTATTGATGATAAGTGGGATAAGCAACTACATCGGCCATTGCATGCAGCTAGTTATTTTTTTAACCCAGTTTTGTTTTATATTGACAAGGATATACAAACAAATGACACAATTATGGTTGGATTTAATAAGTATGTAGAGGTGCTAGTCCATGATCTTGATAT